GTTTTAATTAACCAATAGTCGCACGTGCCTGAAATTGAACCAATCAAAACAAAATCTATGGGGTCTCTAAAAACTTTAGTTCATAAAAGGTCACAACACCATGTTTTCCGACAACTTATAGCTGTCTCCAAATAATTTTTTTTGAGAAATCATGTTTTAATGTCAGCAGCCTTATGAACAGTTATTGACTGACTCCAGATTTTACCAACCAATGATGGTATCATGCTATCAAACTGGTTGGCAAACTGTAATTCCACGAGACAATTAGTACTAGATAATTACTGATTTTCTTTTTCAAATTAGAGCTGAAATTTGTTGGAATATCTTCAAATATTTGGGACTTATTGTAGAATTCTTTGAAATGTTCTTGTCATCACCTGATAGTTTGTTTTACTAGGCTGAAAGCGCAAAAGTAATTGAGAGACTGCATGTATTGTAGACACAGAATAGAAGTTTTTTTGCTGAGGCTGGTTAATCTTTATCTGGGTTACTGTGTAAACAACAACAACAACAACAACAACAACAAGAGCAAAATGTTGAATCAATGGTTAAATCAAATAGCATCACATTGTTGTCATTAATTTTACTACTGGTGTTTCTGTTGTTGGGTTTGAAGCCTACACTATGGCCTACCAGCTATAGTCTGCAAATTCAGCTTTATTCCTCTCTTGTTTAAAGAGCAACGAAAATCAGGAAGTACATCAAAGCCTTATATAAGAGTGACCAAAATCCAATTCCTCCTTACAAAATCAGTACATTGTCAAGCAAACAGGGGATGAGAATAAAGACAACCATCAAGAAGGGAATTCTGTAGCCAATGTATTTAGGATACGATGAAGAAAGCTTCATATAGTTGCTTCACTGTTTTGCTTCATTTTTTTTTGCTTCATTTTTCAGGAAGTCTCAGTGACCAGACGGTTGAGGGAAGATAAAGGTAAAGGCAAGACAAGACAAAGACAAGACATGACACTGGAGGCAATATCAAGAAGTTAGGACGCTATAGACAGACATACATGAAGTACGCAAGGGACGAAAGTAAGACAGATTGTGAGAGATTTTTTTCAAACCAAGGGCGTATAGGATAAAATTTATTTCGTGGACTAAACGTTAGGATTGGCGATGTTTTCCTCAGAGTTAAACAGAATACGAAGGCAATCTATAAGGATGAACTGATCCGAAAAGTAATTTAAAGTTAGGTTTTGTAGGAAAAGTTTCGTCAGCTTTGCTTTTACGAATTCTAGTCCAATTTTAATTCTATTTTAATCCTTTGTCTTTGTTCACGATGCGAGAGCTTGGAGGATTGTGTGACTGACGCGTACGTGACTCTTGAGCATCAGTGGTGTTGCGTTACACTAGCGGCCATTGAGAATATGTTAATAAGGCTTTTTACGAAAATTTAAATGCACGGCGTTGCAACGGGAGATTCGACTGTTAATTTAGCAAATAAAGATTGTGAAGTGCCTTTTCAGTGTTATTTTGTTGGCTTGCTCAGACAAACAGCAAGGCAGCAGGGTATCAAACGAAACTTTATATTCTTTACTTTCTGAGTTAGCAGTTAAAATACGGCAACTTTTCATGAATTTGAATAATTCCCGTGCAAAACTTTATTACTATATCCTCAACGTTCCTTCGTGTAGCGCAACACCACTGTAGTTCAATAGTCACGTACGTTTCTATCATATGATTCACCGACTTCTCGCATCGTGAGCATCGTAATTCTTTGATTTTCCTCAAAGGAAAAATTTTTATAGTTAGCCTTCGTGTTTAGAATCGCAATTTTTTCCTAGTTTCCTTTCACGGACCAATTTCAGAATGGATTGTCTTGTTTATTCAAAATGTCTCAACCAAAAGCAGATTTAGAAAAAAAAAATTCGCTGCTAAGTTTTTGTCAAGTTATTTCGAGCTTATTTCGTAAAGTTAGCTTTGTACAAAATCAGTTTCTCTTGTTTATTAAATATTTTCTGAAAAATTGTCTTGACTGCCTAAATTTACTCTTAGGGTAACCCTCGTCTAAATTTTTAATTTTCCCGCCAAAAAACTTAGAAAAAATACGGGCGCTTATAATACGCATGCGCCAACTTTTTTTAAAAATACTTCTTGTTAACATCTGTTTAAATATTTTTAATTTTCCCGCCAAAAGACTTAAAAAATACGGCGCCTAAAATACGCATGCGCCAATTTTTTTTTTCAAAAGATGTAATTTAATTCTAGATTATTACTTGACTTAATAGTCAATAAGTGCAATCTTTTTTATTCAGGTGACCATTTCTTTTGTAATCTTTATTAGTAAGTAAATACAAATTTCAAACAATAAAGTACTCACAACAATTGTTTCATTTCAATTGTTTTATTTATCTTTTATTTTCTGCTTACAATACTTAATTAGTTAAGTGAAATTCAATTAAATTGATTACAAAGGTGTCTTCGAAAAATTTGCCCAATATATACTAAGACTTTTGGCGGGAAAATTGGAAAAAATTTGCACAGCGTTTCCCCTGACAACTTTTTTGTCAAAAATTTTAAGGGGGTACCCCTTGAATTTTTCCCGCCAAAAAAAAATTTCAACATATACCATCTTGAACAGAAACTAACGGAAAACGTTTGATTCCAATCATTCTAGTTTTTCAAATAACTAAGATTTTGAATCCAGTGAATATTTGCTTGTGTTCAAGACGGCATATTCCATGATGATTTCTTGTAAAAATAGTCAAGCAAAAACGACAAGCAGCTAGAAACCTATTAACAAAAAAGAGAAGAGCAAGTTAAAATTTCTACAACTGCAACGTTTCTACACAAAATTGAGAGGGTGGAAACATTTCTGAATCGCAATATTTAAGAAAGTATATATAACCGGGTCACTTGAGTCCCAACGATGTAAACTCTCTTAACTATAGCGATTCTAAAATGTCGCCGCCTTCTCGATGTTGTGCAGAAACGTTGCAGTTGTAGATATTTTAACTGGCTCGTCCTATTTCTGTAAATAGATTTCTAGCTGCCCGTCATTCACAGCTTAACTGTTTAACGTGATATCATCATGCAATATATTTCAAGAAGATAGCGAAGGCAAGCCATTAACCCGATTATTCCATCGAAATACTGAAAAAAAAGAGGGAAAAATTTCAACCTCGTCCTAGCGTTTGATAAATTTTAGGACTTCCGTCACTTAAAGCCGAGATGAAAAATTAAAGCCCGATAAATTATAGGCCAGTTTCAAAAAATGTTCATGGCTTGCTTCGTTATCTTCTAGAAATTACTTCCAGCGAGGTGTTAGAGATTAATGTCTGGTCAACAAGCTTCAAGATGTATCACGGTATATCGTGGCTTCTGTTAAATACTTGTAGTAAAACTTTGTCATTTGTGAACGAAAGCAATAACATTTTAGAAAATTAGACAATTGAAATTACAGCTTTGAAAAGCAAAAGAGCTAATAGCAAATTTTGGTGAATTTTTGTACGTAGCAGAAGACAGATATAATTTGTGAAGAATCAGACAATTGGAGCTACGTACCTGATGATACATGTAGATGTTATAGTTGACAAAAGCAATAGCACTTAAATTTTAGAAGAATCAGACAATTGGAGTTGCGTTCGTGATAATAGATGTAATAGTGAATACAAACGATAGCGATAAAATTTTCAAAGAATCACACAACTAGAGCTAAGATTTGAAAATCAAAGATGGCTTAGTGAATACTGTAGTAAAAATGTTTCTCAGTTGCAGACTAAAGCAATATCATTTTAGAACAATCAAACAGTTGGAGCTACAAATTTTTGAAAAGCAACAAATCAATTCGTGAATAAATTCGGTAAAAATATTCATCAGTCCGAATAGTAGCTTTAATGTTTTAGAAAATTCAGACAATTGAAGCTACATTTCTAAAACACAATATATCTGATAGTACAAATGAAAGACAAAACAATTTGAAAAATCAGATAATAAGACCTACATTTTTTAAAAGCGGTAATGGAAAGAGTTGCTTGATACCAGACATAATTCATTGCAGCCTTGCTGAAAGTTAAACAAGAGGATTTATTTGGTTTCTGATTGACCTTTTTGCGTCCCAAGAAAAAATATGTAAACCTGACGTTTTCCGTACAGAAATGTATAAAAGAATATCCGTCGATTAATCTTAGTATTTTCAGCATCCGAAGATCAATTCAGAAACCCAATATCCTCTTCTAGAATGATTTATTTTTAAGGTAGCTCTGCATGTCAATACACGACAAACGTCAAAATATGTTGGGGTCAAACAAAAAAAGGAACACGAGCGAAACAAGGAAGAAGGCGAATAGTATGTTGTGATCATGTCAAGAAATGTTTCAAATATTCAAAAATTAAGCTAAATGAAGCTGCGAACAAACGAATCGTCAACTATTCCAGGAATTCGATAAAATGTTTCATAATTTCAAATGACGAATAAAGAAACCATAGAAATTGTTCGATAGTTATACTGAACACTTATTTAACTTCAATGCAAGCAGCAGCATTTTTAGATCAATTCGGTCATTAGTTAATTTTGAGCAAAGAAATTTCTCTTTTAACGTACACAATTCACATCAGATGAATTAATCACCGTGACCTTTCTGGAAAAAAGGAAAAATAAATCACAAATGTTCACGTCCATTCCAAGAATCGATCAAGGCACTTATTTAATTACGCATCTGAAAATACTAAGATTTGAAGACTAGAAATAATTCACCGACAACATGAAGTTTGATATGTAAGCTAAAACAATTTTCCACGACCAGCCATTTAATCATTTAATGCTGATTTTGAACAAGGGCATTGCCCTCCAACAGACAATACACATCATAAAGTGAAACTAGGTCTTCGTAAAACTTTCTGCTTAATGCGATTCTGGAGAACAAGACAAATTAAGATGTTCAGTGTCGAATTGTTTGTCCAGTCCATTTCATGACATGATCACGTAACCTATAGTTACTTCTACGGTTTGATTTGAACATGCAGCGCCACCTTAAATTACTCTACAAAAGTTATCGCCTAGTAACAGGTTTTCAAACTTAATAGGGGAGTTGAGCGATTGTACACCAATTTGGAATTTTCAAACGAAAAAAAATAAAAAAATACTCGACCTCGACAAAATACCCGTAGTAAAGCATGCAAATGCTGACCGAAAAAATTTAATTCAATCAAGTTGAAGATCACTCGAGCAAAGAATGAAACTCCCCTCAATTTGAAAACATGTACTAAATGATAACTCGAAAACGGTTGGAACCTTTCCGTCATGGCAGAATTAGCAATCACTACCGAATTTGTTTTCTTTCGCGCCCGGATGTCATTCGCGGAATGCAAATGTTTAAGCCAAGAAAAAACATAAGACTTTCAACCAACAAAACGATTTTAAACTACGAAGTTTTGAACTCGATTGTATCTTCTCTAGTTTCAAAACTGCTATTTCTTGTCGGAGAGGTTTCAATTTAACCAATTTCTCCAATGCTATTCTCAACTTTGTCTTCATCCTCCCTGCTTGAATCCTGTTGATGTCCTTTTGCTTTCGTTTACTCTCTGAAAAAAGAACATAAAAATTGCGTAACGAAAAAACCCAAGTGTGGAAACAAACGAGTAATTGAGGAATGAAAAATTCACAGTGAATTGTTAAGCATGAGTGGGCGTTGACAAGTACACGGCAACGTATCACAAAGAAACGCCACTTTCACAAAGAAAGCCACACACTCGTGGAAAAAAAAACCCGCTAAGAACTTAAGCGTCTCGTGTGGTTCCTGAACTAGCTTTTAATGTACGCTTTAAGATCAGTTTCTAAAGCCAAACGGTTGTTCTGAAGTTCAACACGAAACGTGTACCTACAATGTCCGGCGAGCGCACGTGGTTGAAATATTACTTGCGAAGGGAGAGTGCAAAGAAATTGATACTAACCATTGACAGAAATGGGTGACAACCGACTTGTCTTTCCCAAACGTCGACGCCATTTCTTCTTCAAAGTCAGGTTTGTTTCTCGTGTGGAAGGCAACAATACACATTTTACTCCGACGGCAAACATCGTAAAATGACAAACAAGGACCTCATGTCAGCAATGGTCATCATGAATATGCAAAATGAGATTAGACCAATCAGCTAACAAATACGTCACGAATGTTTCACAAACAACACCCTTTGCACGCTTTCTTTTGCTAGAACTTTGATTTGGATTTCCTTTGTTTAAATGGAGTCCAGGCTGCCCCGTATAGTGGATAGTATGGACTGTGTAATCACAAAAAGGCATTTTTCAAATATTTATATCAATTTTTTTTTCTCGCATGCCACGATCCGTTCATCTCATGCCACACTAAAACCGCTGGATGGCTTGTCACTACTTAAGTTCAGAAAAAATGGCCAAAGAGCAAGGTTGTCTAAGTCACGATCCTTGTTTTTAATTTAGCTAAAGCTAGTTGTATTTCGTCTTTGGCGGGAAATGCAAGTTTTGTCCACGTGACTTTGTCAGTCTTTGCGTAACTAGTCCTAGGCGTAGAGAGTCACGTGCTTGCGGTGAAATTGCGTACAATTTTGATGAAAAAGAAAGCTTCGGCTTTCCTTATCACTGTACCGTTGCATGGAAGAAGCTCGCCGGGATTCCAAGGGGAAAGAGAAGGGTTGCGAATAGCGGAACGCACGGAGAACTTGCGATGAAAGCTTTCAGAGCTGATGACGGTTTGTTTTGAGCCAAAATAAAAAATTCAGGTCTTCCTTACATCTTTATAAAATTTGTTTATCAAGTCCATTGTTGCCTCTTGCTTATCCTTACAAAGATTTGTGTTTATTTTGCCTTCGTTTGCACAAGGTGATCCACTGTTTTAATTGTTTCTGCATATTGGTTACCAGCTTAATCAAAGGCCCTTTGTCTTGAGCTGGCTCGTGTCACTTGTTTAGTGTCATCCATAGCCAAACCAAGCAAGTGTAATCCAAGTGTAACGCTACGTAGAGCAAACAGGAGCGCATTTTCACTTCCGGTAATTCTGCCTCGATCTGTCCTGATTTGGCTCTTAAAGACGATTAAGACAATTATTCTT